CCCCGTCCTTAACTTTAGGCTTTTTCGCTGCTGCGAAGGCTCTAGGCTTGACGACGAATGGGGGTGTGGATCCTGTGAAGCTCCGCTTACACAACAAGATCGAGCACGACGTCTCACTGGTCCGCGACGACGACCGGCTGGGCAACAATTACGCTGTCAACCAGACAATGATCAACCAACTGGTGTCCAGCTCCAGCGACGGCAAGTTCCTGACGATGAAAGATATGGCGATGTTCAGGAAAAAGCGGGTGGCAGACAGTCGTGCTAACAACCCGGATTTGACATTTGGACCGAAGCAGGATGTGATTGGGCTGGGGGAGGCCGCATTCCTTTTTGTGATCCTGGGCGACCCTCTAAGGGGTAGAGCCATTCCCCTAGGCTCGCTGATCTCATTTCTACAAGACGAAAAGCTTCCGAAGGGCTTCCGCCCTCCGTTTCTACCGATCGGACCAGCGCAGATGGGGCTAGTTGTTGGTAGACTAAAAGCAACTTCAGCGTTGTTGAACAACGTATCAACGTGAGGTTGGAAGCCCACTTGTAGACCGTCACGCATGGCTCTCTATATGTGCAGTGCTCTTGAAGCTGGTAGGTAGTGGCAGTTATACGGTTGGGGAGCAGCTGGAGAATGTGGGCCATACTTCCAACACCTCTGGATGCACAATGCAGCATGCAAGCCATGCCAAGGTGCAAAGGGTTCAGCTATTAGGCAGACGGAGGTTGCCTGAAAAAGGTTACGGTACAATGTATTTATTGTGTATGCTCCAAATAGAGATTTGAGGTAGACGTATTTATTGTGAATTCATTAAGATGGTACTGTGGCATGTTTAAGACATGTTATAAAGTCAACGTTTCCATTTCTGCATCTCACTGTTATCAAGTGCTTGTGTTAGAGATGATCAAATTATGCTGTATAATGCTTCATTCTGTCAGAAAGGCGGCATTGTATAGCCTTGATATGCTGAGCAATTTTGCGCGGGAGTTTTCTGACTCGATCCGTGTGTCAGCCCCGAGAATGGCTTGCTGGAGTGCGCGTCCAGGCCTCTAAATTCATCTTGGCACCTTGAGCTCCGAGATCATCTCTTTATGGTCCCTAGAAACCTCGTAAGCATACCATCCCGAAGCTGGGGAGCAGCGTCAAGAGAGAATAACACTCGTTCGATTGACTGATACGCGTCGACCTGATAATTCCGTCTTGTTTTTTCCTTTTCAAAGATCCTGTGAAGTCCTTCTATTTGGACTCTTGCTAATCAGCATGGGGGCTGATCATAGTCGTCCGGATACACTGGACGATGACTACGAGACCGTCGTTGCACCTCAACTAGCTGCAGCCTCCCCGTCAGCCACGGTGGCTTCCCCAAGTTCGAGTAAGAAGGCTCCAGCGACGCGGCTTTGGCGCTCCGCTAAGGGCCCGGACGGGAGCATTCGTTATAAGTTGGCGGACAAGTCGATCGGTTGGAAGTTCACGCAGAACCCTCCGGAAAAGACGCGCAACGATGACGACGACGATGGGGACGACGACGATTACAAACCCGAAGGCGAGGAGGAGGAGGAGGACGACGAGGGGTACTGGTACTTCGTTGTGGCAGGGAGGATCTGCGTGCGGGTGGACGAGGGGTTGAATATCCAGTTCAACGACCAGCAGCGCCGCGTGGACTTCACGGACTTCAAGAGCGTGTGGGCCATCAAGTTCGCGACCGACGACGAGTATGCTGACTTCTGCCGGCAGTACGACGCGTGCCTTTTTGAGAACACTCACGGCATGTCTTACACCGAGGCGAACGCGGCCAAGGTGCTGGGGAAGGAGTTCGTGGGTTGGGCCAAGGGGGAGGATGCGGAGGGAGCGATGTGGGAGGACGCCGCGGAGGAGCTGCCGGACGGGGAAGGCGCGCTGTCGCCGTCGTCGCGCAAGGAGTCGTCCATCACGGAGAGCTACGAGGAGACGCCCAAGGGCAAGAAGCCGCTGGGTTTCTCCATGGGCGCGCTGGCGAACAGTTACTTGATCCACGACGGCGGCATCGACGTGTACAAGAACCGCGAGGACGGTGTGCACTACGCGGACGGGCTGAGCATCGCGCTGGAGAAGATGAGCATGAAGGACAGCGGCACCCCCGCCACGGCGAAAAAGGGCCTGCTGCTGGACCGCGAATCCACCATGCTGCTCATGACCCCTGGGGCTCCCACCAGCTCGCCCAGCCCGGCACATGCGGCAGGGCTGCGGCAGCTGGACATAGAGTCGCAGAAGGTGGTGGCGCAGTGGAAGTTTGATAAGGACGGCACGGAGATCAACATGCTCGACGTCACGGGCGACAGCAAGGCCGCGCAGCTGCAGGCGGGCGGGTCCACATTCCTTGGGCTGGACAATAACCGCCTGTGCCGCTGGGACATGCGTGACAGGGCCGGCCGAGTGCAGACGCTGGCTTCCACCCTGGCGTCGCCAGCCGCGCTGACGTGGTCCGATGGCCACCAGTTTTCGCGGGGCACCAACTTTCAGTGCTTCGCCACCACAGGCGAGGGATGTGTTGCGGTTGGGTCACGGGATGGCAAGATCCGCCTGTATTCCACAACCTCCATGCGCCAGGTCTGCTCCTCATGCCCTCATCTCTGCTCTTTCTTCACCGCTCATTGTGTTCCGCTTTCAGTGTTGTCCATGTTGGTGCCGGGCTCTGAATACCAGATCTCTCTTGTGGCTCACAGGCAAAGACAACGTTCCAGGGCCTTGGGGGCGCCATCACGCACATCGATGTGACGTACGACGGGCGGTGGGTGATCGCGACAACAGACAAGAAGCTCATTCTCATCTGCACGGGGTTCAGGGACAAGGAGGGCAAGGAGCGCTCTGCGTTTGTTGCCAGAGCTGGTGGCAATCTGGCTGCAGCGAGGCTGCTGAAGCTAACCCCTGAGCACGCACAGATTGTTGGGAACTTCAAATTCCAGAATGCCCGCTTCTCGTGGGTAAGCTGGGCACTTGGGTTTGGTGCGGCTCCTTGGGTTGGGTTCAATTACGCTAATGCCTTTTCCATTGTGTGTAGCTCAATATTTTCCACTTAAAAAAAAGATGTGTTGCTACCCTTTTCCATTGTGTGTGGCTGGCGTGGACAGGTGACAGAGAGTGACCGACAGGAGAAGCACATTGTGGCAACAGTTGACAAGTACACTGTCGTCTGGGCCTTCCGCCGAGTCAAGCAGCTTGAGCATGAGTGCTACACGCGCCAGGTTGGGCGCCTCAAGGAGTGCACATGCTACCGCGTGGCCCCTCGCACCGAGTCAGTGATTGAGTCCAAGTTCATGCATGATGACTATGCAGGCCCCTCACTCCCAGAGGCTCCTCTTGTCGTTGCCACACCACACCAGGTGGCTTCACTGCGCTTCTAGGTGAGGAGAGGTGCAGCATCATGGATGTGGGGCAGCATGGCATTGGTGTAGGAGACAGTTGGCATTTGTGTGTGGTGGAGAGAAGAGGGGAAGGAGAGTGAGGGTTGTGCTGATAGAATGAGAGACAAGGGAGGGTAGGGGGGGGAGTACAGAAAGCCGGTTTGCAAGAAATCGAGGGGATCACGGGGAGAAGCGGGTGGTAGACACTAGAGGAAGAGATCACCGAAGCTGCTTTTCAAAATGGATACTGTTTACTTACCGAAATTGGTGTAATGTTTTAAATGCATAAGTCACATAGCTGTGCTAGAGACTTGGCATGACCACCTTGCAAAAGTACATATATTACTAGTTAAGTGTCAGGTTAACAAAGCTTCATGCGGTTGTAGTAGTTGTAGCACCTACAACCAATCGACATACTCCTACAAACATTAGGCTAGCACCCGTATGCTCTCGAGAAGTTATTTAGGCACATCACAAGAGTAAAGATATAGATTGCCTTAATGTAGAAAGGTAAGCAGCCCTTCGTTCTTTTAAATTTTCAGTGCAATGTATTGTATGGGAATAGCTCTGCCTCCATTAGTGCCCATGGGGGGTGTGCTGGCAGGGAGCGTTCTTCAACCTTGACGATGAACATCAGGGATTGGGTGGTGGAATGCAAGTGAGGCGGATTGAGAGATGGGATGGGATGGGTTGGGTGGGACGGTCTGGCTTGCGCCACTTCTTGGTGGTTGGGTTGGCTCGGAGGATCAAGGTTGCTACCCGACGAAAAAAACTGTCGTCCGTCTGTTGCCCGTCTCAAGTACAGCGATTGGTTTATCATTGAAAATTGTGTACACAGGTTGATTTTCCAAGGTAGCTGAGAGGGCTCTGCACTGCACCATTGACATGTAGAACATTTAGGGCTCGAGCAGCCGTCGGTGGAGGCTATTGGCCGTGACAGTGCACACGACAACTTCCCAAGCTCGAGTTCGCGGCATGGGCGCACGCCAGCTTCTGCTGGTTCCTCTCAGGCATGAGAGTCGCTGTGGGCCGTACGCCGTGCAGCCCTACCCAAGCCTTGGAAGGAATCAGGTTAGCGGGGAGGGGAAAGGGGGTAGGTTGGCCTTGGAGGGGGAAGAAACCCCACAGTGCTGTTCGTGTACGAACGTACATGCTTCTCTCCCAAGTCCCGGCTATGCGCGCAATTTCATAATTTCCGCCCAGGTGACAGCTCCCTCATGCTCCACCTCCAGCGCCACAGAACAAGAGCGCTACTTTAATACACCGACTTACTGTCGCCATAGTTCCTCGTGGCGCAGAGGCTGCAATGCAGCCAATTCAACAGCCTTCGTGTGTTCATCCAGCAGCACCCAATCCCTAACCATCCTTAACCATTAACGGCTTATGATAAAGAATAGTAGTTTAGGCCTTATTATCGACTATTTATATTGGACAGATCTGCATAGTGGAGTTAATAACTGCACTGCCCTTCAGCTGCACTGGAGCCCGAGGCTAAGGCTACCTCTGGAGTATAACTAGGGATGCACGGGGGAGGGGGCGACTTCTCCTTTTCCGTGCCTCCGCGGCCGTTGCGGCCCGCCAGGCATCGGAGGGTGAGGTCGGACGATGGCTACCTCTTTGATCACGTCATGGCGGCTCAGCAAGCCGCGGACCCGCGCGCCCATCACGGCGGCAATCCTCAAGGCGGTTCGGCGTCGGGTCAGGCGACGTCGAATCGGTACCGGCAGCACCCGCAGTACATGCTGTCGGATATCCCGAGCATCGAGGAGGAGGACCACGCCGCGTACGACGACGCGTCGCCCACCGGTGAGTCTGCCATGGTGCAGCCCGTGTCGCAGCGGTCGCACTCGTACTCGCGCGCTGGGTCCATGGGCAGGGAGACGGAGGGGCAGGGCGAGCGGGAGTGGGAGCGCGAGAGAGCGTACGAGCGAGACAGGGAGCGGCAGCGGGATGCTCCCGTGCGGGATTGGAGGGAAGGCGAGCGCGAGAGGGGCAGTGGGCGAGAGAGGGGTGGGGCAATGGAGTACGGCAAGGGGCGCGAGAGAGAGGCAGAGGCGGTGAGGAGCAGGGAGTCGGAGAGGAGTGGCAGCTGGAAGGAGAGCGAGAAGCACAGAGGGGAGCGCGGCAATTTCAGGGACAACGAACGAACGGGTGGCGAGAGGAGTGCGGGCAGTTCTCGTGAGCGCGATCGCGCGGACAGGGGCACGGGGAGCTCGCGGGAGCGTGGTGAGCGCGCTGTGGCGAGCGGCAGCGTGCGGGAGAGGGAGCGGTTGGAGCGCGAGAGGGAAAGGGAGCGAGAGTACGAGCGGGGGAGGGAGAGTGAGTGGGGCCGTGACGACTCGACGAGAAGAGAGCTTTCGTACGAGGAGGACGAGGAGCAGCAGGGGCATTACGAGGATCACTCGAGGTACCAGGCTTCGCAGCACGCACATGCGCATCAGCACTACCAACAGCCGCCTGCAAAGGCGCGAACGGACGGGCACAGCTCGCAGCACTCAATGCAGCAGCCGCAGCAGCCCCGTCAGTCGCAACAGATGCCGCTTCAGCAGCAGCACCACCACCACTCGCAAGACGGCCTCTCCTCCTCGCCGCAGCGCCATCCCATGCCCCGCCCCTCTCGTTCCGCGTCCTCCGGCTTCCCCTCTCCCCTGGCGCCTGCCGCCAAGGGTTACGCCCCCGCGCCCAGTTCCTCGGGGCCCACGCCCGCCCACGCGGGGGAGGCGCGCTACGGGTCGCCGGCAGGCCCGGTGGCAGCGCTGAAGCAGAGCGCGCGGCACCGGCGCATCCGGTCGGAGGACGCGTCGATGTTTCACCGCATGCTCGCACAGGACCACGCGGGCCAGCCCCCCGCCATGTCCGGAGGTGCGGGGTCGGCAGGGGGCCCGCCGCCGGGCGTCCGGAGCCCGGTGGCACGACCCATAACCAGCGGCGCGGCAGGCGGGGCGGGTGGCAGCCGCTTTCAAGGAGGGCCTGCGGCAGGCGGAGCTGGCCCGAGCGGAAGCACTGTGCGCGCAAGCGGGTACGGCGGCAACGCGAATGGCGGTGGCGGGTCCATGTCGGGCGGGACGAGCACAGGCGGTAGCGGTGTGACGAGGCAGCACGTGGCGGCGCGGGGCCCGCTGGAAGGCTTAGGCGAGCGGTTTGCGGACTACAGCGGGGGCGGAAGCGGCAAGGAACGGCGCGCGCAAGTCACCCACCGATTCCCCTCGTCGCGGTCCGTGTCTGCCGTGCAGTCACATGCCCACGACCACGACCGCTCGCCGGACTCTCCCGTCCGCGCTACGGGCACGGGCATGCGCGCGGGAGCGGGCGCGGGGGGGAGTCAGAACCACAAAGAACAGGTGGGGGAAATGGGGATGGCCCAAAGAGACGCGCAGGCACAGGGAATGGGGCGAGGCGCGGGGGAAAAGGTTTTAATGCGACCACGGAGCATGAAGGCTCTGTCGTCGCCGGGCGATGCGGCGGGCGACGAGCAGTCGCAGGGCTACGGTGCGAGCGCGCAGAAACAGCAACAGTGGCAGCAATACCAGCAGCCGCCGCCGCAGCAACAGCAACAGTGGCAGCAGCAGCAATTTGCCCCCCCTCCCCAGCAGCAGCAGCAGATGCGGCGTCGGTCGCACGATTCGCAGTCAAGCCCGTGGCCCGACGACGACTCTCCCATGCGCTCCCCCCCCGACGTCGCGCGCCTCTCTTTCGACTCCGCCGATCATCAGCCTCCGCGCGCTGCGCGGGTGGGCTCGCCCGCAGCTGGGGGGAGGCCAGCGCCGTCGGGAAGTGGAGCTCCGCGCGCAGCAATGGGCCCGGGTTCGGGGAGGGGGTCGGGGAAAGGCGACGGGGCGTGGGGCGGCGCAGCGGAGGCGGTGGCGGGTCGCGTGCGGGAAGGCGCGGACATTCGCCCCCAGGCGCTGCCGCGCCCCAACAGCAGCGGCGGCGTGCGCAGGGCGGCGGGGGTGGCAGGCGGCGGAGTGGACCGGTCGCGGTCGACGGACGGCAGTCCGGACCCCGGCGACATGGGGAGTGGCGGCGCGCGGGGGGGCAAGGAGGAGGGCGTGTGGGGGCGCAAGGCGAAGGGCAAGGCGGGGCAGCCCATCACGGAGGAGGCGCTGGAGCAGCAGCTCAAGCTCTCCGCCCACCGCCTCTCCGCCGTCTCCCCCGCCTACTCCACCTCCCCGCCCCACTCCCCTCCGCGCGCCTCCTCCTCGCGCCCGCATCCCGCGTCTTCCACCTCTTCCACTGCCGGAGCTTCTGCTTCGCCTGCGCAGACCTCCCCCGCAGCCAGCCGTCCCGCCGGGCGCAATCCGCCGATGCGGATGACTGCGCGCAGCGCCAGCGGTACCTACTTCAGCTCGGCCGCCGCTGCTGTGGCGGCCGTGGGCGCAGGGCAAGGGATGGGCGGGGAGGGAGACATGCGCGGGGGGCGTAAGTACGGCGGGACTGGCGATTCTGCCGTTGGGGGGGCACAGGGGGGTGCACCTATGCGCGGTGGAGGGGGGAGTTACGGCGGTGGTGCTGGCAGCGGTAACGTTGGCGGTGCAGCAGCGGCGGTGGCGGCGGCAGCAGGCAGCGGCGGCACCAACAGGCTGCGCCCGTTTGAGGAGCCCACGCCCGCCAATGCGCGCCCCAAGCCGCGCCACAGGCGCAGTGAGAGTGCGGGCCCGGGGTACTTTGTGGGCGGAGGGGGCATCTGGGGCGCCGTGGCGGGCGCCAGCATGGCGCCGAATCTGGGCGCGAACGGCCCCCAGGCGCTGGCGCTCAACTTCCTGGCGGGCGCACAGCAGAGCGACGCCGTGGTCAGCAGCGGGGGCAGCGCGCACGCCCGCGCGCAGGGCGCACAGGGCAAGGTGGGCGCAGGTGCTGGCGGGACAGCTGGCGGAGGGGGCATGGCGGGACGGGTGGGGAGCAGCGGAGGAGGAAGGGATGGGGCAAGCGAGAGTGGTGGGGCGGGGGCGACGGGAGGGGGAGTGGGGAGTGCGATGGCGAGCAGCATGGGCGTGGAGGCGGTGCGAGCAGGGCTGTCCGCCATCCGCACAGGTGGGCACGGCAGCGCCAAGCACATCAACCTCGGTGCCTTCGCCAACCAGGGACCCGCCGCTGCCGCCACCACCGCTGCAGCCGCCACCGCAGCAGCAGCAGCGGCGGCGGCAGCAGCAGCAGTGGGGCCGGACGGGTCGATCCCGCTGAGCACGAACCTGAAGCTCAAGGTGCGTGGAGGCATGTCCATCAGCGTGCCGCACAGCAACACCGCCGTCAGCCCGCGCGTGTCCTCCTCCGCCACTGCTGGCGCCTCCGCCAGCACGCCCACGCACGCCAGTCCGCGCAGCGGCATCAACTCGCCGTTCAACATGGCGAGTCCGCGCGAGGGCGTGAGTCCGCTGGCCAGCCCCATGCTGCCACTGGACCCCGAGAAGCTGTGGGCGCTGCAGAACTTCCAGCGCTCCACTCCCGTCTCCACGCCCACCGCCTCGCCCCGCCCCGGCTCCCTCTCGCCCCCGCCCGCTGCGCCCCCGCGCACGCCCAACGTGAGTGACTACTACTACAGCGCCAAGTCGGGCGAGGCGGGCAGCCCGCGCGCCGTGGAGGAGGAGCAGGTGGAGGAGACGCCGGCGACGGCGAACGTGCTGCAGAAGGACGTGGTGGAGCTGAGCGAGCTGTACCGGCTGTCGCGCAAGGAGCTGGGCCGCGGCAACTTCGGGGTCATCCGCGTGTGCGAGAAGCGCGACTCCGGGGAGCGGTTTGCATGCAAGACCATTGAGAAGAAGAACCTGGAGGTACGCAGGGGGACGGGGGGAGGGGGCGGACTGGGGAAGGGGGGGAGGGGGCGGAGTGGGGAAGGGACGGGTGATGGGAAAGTGCTTTGAAGTGATGGGAGGATGCATCACACGTGCATCCAGACACCTATGTGCCACATCACATTTCCTTGGTGTTTCTCTGGCTTGTATTTACGTGAGTGTTGCTTGTGTGCGTATGTGTGTGTGTGGATGTGGGCGTATGTGGTGGCAGTGTTGGGAGGACGTGGAGGACGTGCGGCGGGAGGTGCAGGTGATGGAGATGCTGAGGGACCACGCCAACGTCATCAAGCTCGTAGACACCGTTGAGTCCCAAAAGGTACCCTCCAACCCCATTCTCTCACCCGTGCTGCTCCTGCGCTGCCGTGCGTGTGCTCATCGCACCTGATCCCCTCCATGCTCTGAAGCATGCTGGCCTGTCATGGCGGTGCCGTGGCGTCTTGAATGCCCACCACCACCGCACCATCTTCCCCCAGCACCTCCTGGCTCTACTACCTTCCACCCCATCACCTCTCTCACTCTCCCGCTGTGCGTGCATGACATGTGTGTGTGTGTGTGTGTGGGTGGGCAGGAGGTGCATCTGATAATGGAGCTGTGTGAGGGCGGGGAGCTGTTTGACCGCATCCAGGACAAGGGCTACTACAGCGAGCGCCAGGCCGCCAAGGTCACGCGCACCGTGGTGGACGTGCTGCAGCACTGCCACTCGCACGGCGTGCTGCACCGCGACCTCAAGCCCGAAAACATCCTGCTCACCAGCAAGCGCAGCGACACGCGCGTCAAGGTCATCGACTACGGCATGGCCTACATCTTCCAGCCAGGTACCATTCCCGCCCCTCAACTCGCGTTCCCTCCCTCCTTCCCTCCCTCTTCCACCTTCTCCCTCAACTATTGCATAGTTGTGTTCCTCTCCCCCTCCACCTCCTTTCATATTTCCCTTGCATCCTTCACTCTCGTCACAGCCCCACATAGCCATGCACGCAACGCGTGCACGCCTCTCCCTTGCGCTTTCCTCCTCACCCCCGCCCGCCCCTTCCCACATGAACCACCCTCCCTCATTCCTTCATTTACCTATCCCCCCCCCTTTCTGTGTGTGCGGTGGACACCAGGCGAGCGGTGCACGTTCAGAGCAGGCACGCCGAACTACATCGCGCCCGAGGTGATAAACAAGAACTACGGCGTGGAGGCGGACGTGTGGAGCGCAGGCGTGATCCTGTACATCCTGCTGTGCGGCCTGCCGCCCTTCTGGGGCGACACTACGGAGGAGATCTTCAAGAGCGTGCTGTGGGGCCACCTGGACTTTGACACCGACCCCTGGCCACAGGTGTCGGACGCGGCCAAGGACCTCGTGCGCCGCATGCTGTGCAAGAACTACGCCAAGCGCATCACCGTCGAAGCCATCCTGCGTATGCCCACGTGCCCTCGCATGCCATTGGCTCTCAGCCTTTGCTGTCTCTTGTCCCTGTGGGGCCACACACGTGCCCTTGTCATCCATGCTGTGCGCTTGCTCCTCAACCGCTTGGCCCCCCATTTCACCTTCCTCTCCATCTCTTCCCCTCTCTCCCCTCTCACTGCACCAGGTCATCCATGGATCGTTGCTTACACGACGTGACATGGCAGCACTCATGACGTGGCAGCACTCATGACGTGGCAGCACTCATGACATGGCAGCACTCATGACATGGCAGCACTCATGATGTAGCGGCATTCATGATTTAGCAACACCACATGTGGCTGGGTGGTGAAGCTGGAGCAACTGCTGACATGAACAGGCTCACATCTCACATGACATCAACTTTACACCATCCACCCCCTCTCTCTCCTTTCCCTTGCATCGCATGCCTGTCTGCACCGCTATTCCACTGGCTCTCCCTGCCTGCCTGCCATTCTGCCCACTCGCTAGCTCCCAAGCTGCAGCTCACACTTCTCTTGGTCCGCTCGCTCGCACGTGCACCATTCTGCTTCCCCTTGTCCCTTACATATCCTGACCCCCATTTAACCCCAACTGTCTGCGCACGTCCTTTTCCACTGTGCGGGCGCTGCCACTTGAGCACCAAGTCCCCGCATGCCGCTCATTACCTCCAGATGCCCTCTCTGCCTGATGTCGCCTTGCTCCCATGGCTGCACTCGCTCCCATCTGACCACCCCACCCTGCTCACTCCTGCGGCTTGCGCACCTGCCACTCCTATCTGCCGATGTTCCAGAGAGGATGGTGCCTTTGTCACAGGGTTGTGAGGTCAGGTTGGTGTGGGGGCCCTCTTGTGGTCGTAGGGTGGAGGGGGCTTCTCAACAGCGACAGTGCTAATGGAATGTAGACGCTTTCTGCTAACTGACTGCACGACGTGCTCTGATGTGTGGATTCTATTCTAATTTGGATGTTATTTATTGTGCATGTTTCATTGACCATTGACAATCTTTTCTTTAATAATCGTTATGGAATAATAAATAATAACAGCCGCTTAGAGCTTGATTATCTCGTGGTTTACCGGAGGTGTAGTTTTCCCATCTCAAAAAAGCCTTTCGGCTCATGCAATGAGGCCACGTGTCGCTTCGCGTCGCGAAGCGTCGACCGTTTCACATTCGCATTCACATGCGGTCCGATTTCCGTAATTCCCCCCCGCAACCCCTCCAAAGATGTGCCACCTTCAAGACATTTTTTCTCCATAACAGCTACTATGCGACCAAATCATCATCCCCCTTAGTTCTCGCCTGCCATCATCAGCCACCACACTTGCTGTCAGAGCGATTGACGCCAGGAAGACGACAATGCCGCCACTGACGGTAATATTGGTTTACGAAATGTGCCTAGACTTATACTTTCTTATCGGAGTCAGTAGTAGCTCTGCGTGTGCGACTCCACAAACGCTGCCAGCATTTGAGAGATCTCTAACGTTCTAACGCAGCACTGCCACGGTGTGCCTCGCAGGGACGAAACTTGCTCCTGGAAGAGCCGATTCGGCTGGCTTCGATCCTCGAGCCGTCCTTTCATCATGTATGAATGCCTGCTTCATGATGTCGCAAATTTTTGCGCCGCTTCTTGCACCTGGTCTCGTGCAGTCTACTTCCCTCGCACTCCCGTACCACTCCCTCCTCCCCCACGCAGCAGCGCGCCGCGGTGCCGTCGCTGACCAAGGTGGTGGGCACGGTGGGCGGCACGAGCCGCAGCGTGGAGGCCCTGGAGGCGCTGCTGCGCGCGGGGATGACTGGTGGGTGGCGATGCTTCTGGTGTCGCCTTTTAGAAATCCCAATTGTGCTCCAACATAGGTGCGTGGCGGGCAGGGCGGGGCGTGAGAGGGTCGAGACTAGTTCTAGTGGTCGTCACACCCGACAAACCAGCAGTTGGAAGAACGAGCCCTGTGAAGAAATGAGCTTATGAAAAAACGCCCACACACACCCTGTTGCACCATTCGGTCACACCACTTCATGCCTCCCTCTCTCACCGCCCCTCTCATCACCCACGCCCCTCCCCAGTGGCGCGCTTCGACTTCTCCCATGGCGACGCGGACTACCACCAGCACACGCTCGATAACCTGCGCATCGCCATGCACCGCACCAAGAAACTCTGCGCCGTACGACACGCACGCACCCTAGCATACAGGCTGGTGCATGGCTCATGGCGCATGGTGCATCATGCATGACAGCAAATGCAATTTGCGAGGCGTGTGGTGTGTCGAGGCAAACATACATTGTCAACCATTCCCTTGAAATGATCATCCAGTGGCGCTGGACCCACGTGTCCCTCGAGTACTCCTACCCCACCTCGCCCATACTGCTCCTGGCTGGCTGTGCACCCGCTGCCATCTTGCATGCATGCATGCATGCGCGCACGGGTGGGCGGCAGGTGATGCTGGACACGGTGGGCGCGGAGCTCATCATCGCCAACCCCGGCGGGGCGCCCATCACGCTCACGGCGGGCCGCGACATCACCCTCTCGCCCGCCTGCTCCGCCGCCTCCGCCTCCTGCCTGCCGCTCTCCTTCCACGGCCTCGCGCAGGTGCGCTGCCCCGCGCTCGCTGCACAGGGGGGTGGGCGCGCTGGGAGTTGGGCGCGCTGGGAGTTGGGTGCGCTGGTGGCTGAGCGCTAGGGGCTTTCGGTGTGGGTGGCGTGGCGGGTAGATCGCCATGGTACCTATCATGGAAGCACGTGGCAGCACAGTGTGCGACACCCTGTGCTGCCCCCTGCTCACCCCGCCCATGCGCCGCTGCGCGCCCTGCCATGTGAACCCCATCGGCAGGCAGTGCGGGCGGGCGACGAGATATTCGTGGGGCAGTACCTCTTCACGGGCGCCGAGACCACCTCCGTCTGGCTGCAGGTGCGCGCTCGCTGCCCCATGTGCTGCCACGTGGCTCGTGATGTCGTGTGGTGCAAGTTCAAGTCGTGCTCTTTGTGTATGCTGCTGTGTGTGATGCTCCATGGTCGTGTGACACATGGGTGTGCCTTGGGTGCGTGGCATCAGGTGCGGGAGACTCGAGGGGCGGACGTGGTGTGCTGCATCCGCAACAGCACCACCCTCGCTGGCCATTTCTTCACTGCACACGCTGCCCGGGTGAGACGTGCTGCTCTGCATGCTGGCATGAGGGCATGAGGGCATGAGGGCATGGGGCCATGGGGCATGAGGGCATGAGGGCATGGGGCCATGGGGCATGAGGGCATGAGGGCATGTTCCGAGCGCATGATTTTTCACAATGTGCAACACAACGGCACGCTGCTCTTTCCAGCCTCATGTGTGCATGGCATTCCCGCACACCTCGTGTGTCCCCATCACACTACTTACACCTCCCTGCCCCGCCCTAATGGCTTATCTCTTTTCAACCTCCTCATTCCGTGTTTCACTCCCCCCCATCATCCCCCATGGCACGGCACCAGGTGCGCATGGACATCCCCACGCTGACAGCAGCGGACCGGCAGCACATAGCGACGTGGGGGCGGCGCAACAGCGTGGACATCATCTCCCTCTCCTTCACGCGCCACCCTGATGACGTCGCCCAGGTGAGCACGCGCTGTGCCGCTGGGGAGTTGGGTGGGTGGGTGCATTGCTCCACAGCATGGCACACAGAGAGACAGTGCTGGTGGCAGCAGTGGTATCAGAGCCGAACTGGCATGTTGGAGAGTGCCGCCTTGCGAGTGAGGTAAGGGCGAGCGCACTCGTGTGTTTTTCACACTGGCATAATGCCCTTGGCCCCGTGTCTCGTGCCTCATGCCCCCGTGCCCCTCTGCCAATGCCCCTTTGTTTCATAGCTGCAAGAGCTTGAATTCGGGTAAACCAGCAAGCAAAAACAGCATGCCCCAGACCATGCCCATGCCCATGCCCATGCCCATGCCCATGCCCATGCCCATGCACATGTCTATGCACATGTCTATGCACATATGCCCATGCCCATATGCTCATGCCCATATGCCCATGCCATGGCCATTCCCAGAAGCCCATGCCCTGCCCATCCCATGCCCATGCCGATCAATGCCTATGCCCATGCCTCTTATGCCCATGCACATGCCTCTTATGCCCATGCCCATGTCCATGCCCATGGCCGTGGCATTGCGTGCAGACAAGGGAGCTACTGGATTCGTTGGGCGACCTGAGTCAGACGCAGATCTACGCCAAGGTCGAGACCATGCAGGTGCCCCGCTCTCCTACTCAAAGGACACGGGTCCATAGCAGCGACCTTGGTTGCCCAGCTAGTCTAGATGGTATACTAGGCGCTCAAATATGAACAAAGCGATTACACGTGTAGGTAACCATAGTAGTATATCTGGTAGCTTACACTCCACTTCAAAACGCCTACCCTCTTGCGTCCTCGCACTTGCATTTCCGAGTCGTTGCTGCGAGAGGAGCGCGGGGTTTGCGTTGCTGGTGTGATTCTGGGGATTGGGTACAGGCAAAACGGCTGGGGGGTTGTTTGTGGGTCGGCTAACCCACCAAACCAACTCACCCGTTTAACACCTGCAGTAACGCCTGGACTAATCCAGTTGTCTTCACCACCCTACACACTCACCCCTGCCCTCCCCACCCCCACACTCTCCCCCCCCGTAACCCACGGAAGCAGGGTCTAAGGAACTTTGAGGGCATAGCGGAGGTGGCAGACGGCATCATCCTGTCGCGCGGCAACCTGGGCATCGACGTGCCGCCGGAGAAGGTGTTTGGCGTGCAGAAGTGGGCGGTGGCGCAGTGCAACGTGCGCGGCAAGCCCGCCGTGATCACACGCGTGCTGGACTCCATGGTGCTCTCCCCGCGCCCCACGCGCGCTGAAGCCACTGACGTCGCCAACGCCGTGCTCGATGGTGGGGGGAGGAGGGGGTTAATTGGGAGGAGAGAGAGGGAGGGGAAGTGGGGTATAAGGGAGAGGCGGACGTGGAGAGCGACAGAATGGAGCAACTTTGATTCATTAGTCTTCTTGGCGTGTGGGTGGGAGAGAGCGGTGAGGAGTAAGCAAGTGCGTGTGAATGTATGTGATGGTGAGCCACACACTTGGACCTTTTGAATCCTGCCCACCTCTCTCACCCTCTCAATCCTGCTCGCTCTTATCTCCTACTCTCTCTCCTTGCTTTTTCCCCCCTCCTCCCGCACCCCAACGGGCGGGCACGGTGGCAGGAGCGGATGCGGTGCTGCTGGGCGCGGAGACGCTGAGGGGGCTGTTCCCTGCTGCCACCGTGGCCACTGTGGCTCACATCTGCGCACAGGTGAGCACGCGCTGCTCGCTGCGCTGCCACACCACATCATGCCCGCCAGTAGCAGTGATATCAGCACCAGCACAGCACGCTCACACACACTAGCACCCTCACACTCTCTAACATGCTCACAGCTGCACCCCACCCCCATCCCTGCCCCACCCGTGCCTGTGTGGCACGCCCGGCACGGCATGGCATGGCAGGCGGAGCGGGTGTTCAACCACACGGGGCACTTCAACAGAACCGTGAAGGCGCTGCCCGACCCCGTGTCGCACCTCGAGATCATCTGCTCCTCCGCGGTACGCCGGCCCTCGCTCCTCTTCCCACCCGCCCCTACACTCATCCCTCCGCCTTCTGGCACCCACCGCCACAGCATCACAATCATCCATACACCACCCATCGTTGCAAGCCCCACCACTTTCGCACTCGTCGCACCCTTGCACCTGTTGTGCCCCTCGCTGCCCCTATCACGCCACCTGCTCGCGCCCCTCTGCACAAGCGGCGGCCCCATACGTGCGTGTCCCCATGCGTGCCCCCCAGGTGCGCACGGCGGAGAAGGTGCGCGCTGCTGCCATCATCGCCTTCACCTCCTCCGGCCACACTGCCAGGTACTGCCAGGTACTGCCAGGTACTGCCAGGTACTGCCAGGTACTGCCAGGTACTGCCAGGTACTGCCAGGTACTGCCAGGTACTGCCAGGTACTGCCAGGTGCTGCCAGGTGCTGCCAGGTACTGCCAGGTGCTGCCAGGTGCTGCCAGGTGCTGCCAGGTGCTGCCAGGTGCTGCCAGGTGCTGCCAGGTGCTGCCAGGTGCTGCCAGGTGCTGCCAGGTGCTGCCAGGTGCTGCCAGGTGCTGCCAGGTGCTGCCAGGTGCTGCCAGGTGCTAACATATGAGTGGGTGGGAACATATGAGTGGCAGCAGCAGCCATTGCACGTCAACGCAACCTGCGCCATATGCCATGCACGACGTCTCTGTGTGCCCTTGCCACAGTGCCACTACCATGCGCACATCCCTCACTCTCTCCACGCACCCCCACGCCCCCTGGCAGGCTAGTGTGCAAGTACAAGCCGTCCATGCCGGTGTTGGCGCTCATGGTACCGCATGTGTCCACGGACCAGCTCTCCTGGCACCTCATGGGACCCTTCCAGGTCTGCCTCCCCTTCACACGCGCCCACACCAGCCCACAGCCGGCCAGGCGAGCACGAGCATGACACATGTGGTTGGGGTGCATGCTGCGTGGGTCGACTTCAATGACCATGGTTCAGTTGGAGCTGTTATGGAGAATGCTCACAAGCACCTCCAGGCAACCTGCATGACCAGGGGTCGTGCCTCAGTGTTTACCATTCTTGCAATAACCGCTCACTCCCACAACCTCACCTATTTTCCGGCACATGTCCCCATAGCTGTCACTCCGCACACCTCCCCTAACCTGCTTCTCCCCCCAACTCCCAACTCCTCTCTCCCCCTCCCCCCCTGTCGCTGCTGCCCCGGCCACGTGAGCAGGCGCACCAGTGCCTGGCAGTGCGCGGCCTGTTCCCCATCCTGGCTGACGTCATGACCCACGTGAGTCAAGCGGGAATGGGGTTGGGAGGAGGGGTATCGGCCGTGTCAAGGGAGGAGGGAGGGTTGGCGCATGGAGTGTAGGGTGGTGCTGTGCACGCGAGGAAGGTAGATGATGGGCGGGGCCATGCATATCCATGTAAGGCAAGGCAAGTCAATAGTCTGTGTGGAAACAGTAGCAAGTGCATGGTGAATGGCACCCCTGTGTCCATGCCTCCATCCGCCACCATTCTCTTGTCTCCCCTGCGCCCTTGCGCTGTGGCACGTGGAGCATGGCAGGCGAGCATCAGCGCATGGACGCCAGAGGAGTGGGTGCTGCAGGCGGCGCTGGAGCGTGCGGGTGCCATGGGGATGGTGCGAGGCCGTGACCGTGTCATCGTGGTGCAAAAGATCCGAGATGCCTTTGCCGTGCGCATTGTGCACGCCACCCCCACCTGATGCATGCGCTCTCACTGCTCGTGCACTTCCTTCAGCACATGGACGTCCCTAGTTGTAAAGACAAGAGGGCAGTGCAATGTGCATGTGATGAAGGAATATGCTCATGTGCATAGAGTAAAAGGGACATTTTACCGGTGCCATTACTGTGTCTACAGCAGCTTAACCAATTGCATTGCAGTCAGAAAATATCAAGAGTTACAGATTCCTAAAGCCCAAAGTATCTTGGACTGAGCATACATTAATCCTGACCTGACTCTCTACCAAGTGTGCGGTGCTAATTTCGCCTAGTGTCTGCCTGATTCTATAATATATGTGGTCTTTATCCAAGCTCTCCTACTACCTCATATGCGATGCACCATCTGCAAAGCTTTCAACCTCATGGTGCCCTCACATCTCTCTCCCCGCAGTGCCACCACCGCTGCCATGGCTGCCGGGAGCAGCAGCGGGCGTTCTGAGCGGTGCTCTGAACCCGCTCATGGCCTTGAGCCCTGCGCACCGCCCCATGGACCCGCCGTACTGGGCCCCCCCTGGCACCCCCGCTGGACCCCCTGTGCCAAACGCCAGAGCCTTGGGCCGCAGCACCGATGCTGGCGTTGCCATGGGTCCCGACCCTCCCCCCACCACCCCCTCGCCCTTCCCCACCTCCCCCCCTCCCTGCGCCGCTGGCCCCCTCTGCCCTGCCTCCTGCTGCCCCACCTGCTGCGGCACGCCTCCCCTGCTCCCACCTGCCCCTCCACTGCCTGGAGCGCCCCTGGTGCCCGGCCTGGCCCCACTCCCGTGCGACCCACTGCCGTGTGCCAGCAGCATCTGTGCATGCGCCTGTGCCATGGTGCCCGCCCGCCCCGCAGTGCCCATGTTGAATGGCCGCGGGGTGCGGCGCGGCCCAGCAGCCGCTGCCATGGTGCCCTTGCTCCACGTGGCTGGCCGTGGCTTGCGCTGCACTGCTGCCCTCGCAGCCGCGCCTGCTGCCCCATCCACTGCGCCTCCTCCCTCTGTTCCTCCCACTGCTGCCCCACCCTGTTCCCCTCCTCCTGCCCCTCTTTCCAGAACCGAGCCCTCTGCCGTCCTCGCTTGACTGTCACCACCGACAGCACCACCACAACGATCAGCCATGCTGCTGCCCTTCTCCTCTCGCTCGCCCTCGTTGGTGCCAGCCTGCCCCACTGCCTGCGCGTCTCCCCTGCTGCCACGCACGCCTGCATGCCCAGGGGGGTTGGCAGCAGCAATGGCGGCCACAGCAGCTGCTGCAGCACGCTGCCTGAAGCTGCCACCGCTGCCACTCAACGCCCTCACGTTCCCCACCCTCTCCTGCTCCCGTACCCTGCCGGCCGTGCCTGCTGTCTCATCATGGCTGTGCCCCTGCCCACTCCTCTCATCACTCCTCCTGTGCCCCGCGCTGCCTGCATGCCCTGACATCTGCACACCTGCACCACCACTGGCCCCTGCCGACCCTCTCTCTGCTGCTGCTGCTCCTCCTCCTCTTGCTGCTGCTTCTCTTGGCCCTCTGCTTGCTGCTGCTGTCCCCACCTGTCGCTGTGACTCCACGTGCTCCCTGCCCCTCCCAATGTCACGCGCCTCCCCACCCTCCTCGCCCGCTGCACTCTCCTTGGCACCGCTGCCTGCTGCCCTGCCCACGGCAGCAGTGGGAGCAGCAATGGGAGTGGCACGCACTGCGGGTGTGCCAGGCTTCCTGGCAGTGCCCACTGGTGGGCTGGGCACTGCAGCAGAGGGTGCAGCAGCGGCAGCAGCAGCGACAGCCGCAGCAGCAGGTGCAGGGGCGCGGGGCTTTCTGCCTGTGAAGGTGGGCGGGGGCCTGTCACCCATCATGGGCCCTCTGCCTGCTCCTCCCACCCTTGCTGCTGTCGGCCCTGCGCCTGCCATCCCTGCACCTGCTGCTCCACCCACGCCGCCTGCCTTCCCCGCTGCAAACACAGCCAAGTTCTCCTTGCCTGCTGCGGCAGCAGCAGCAGGGGCGATGGAGTTGAGCAGCGGGTTGTCTAGACTATCCAGCACAGGCGCCACCACACTCTCTCTCTCCTCAAATCCCCCCGCTCCCTCTCGCTCCGTACTCCCATGGCCCCACTCCTTCCAATTGCCACCGTCCCTGCTACCCTCGCGCCCCTCCCTCATGCTCCCATCCAGGCTGCCATAGCTCCCTCGCCCCACTCCCTGGCCTACGTTCACACACCGTTCCCCCAGGGGTTGCGCCGGCCCCCCATATCCCATTCCGCTGCTGCCGCTCGCCCTGCTCCCTGCAACGCTGCCTGCCGCCCCTGCCTCTGCTGCACCGCCACCACGTGCATCCGCCTGTTCCTCCCGCACCCCCACTGGCAGTGCGACAACAGGGGGGGCCATGGTGGGGGAGAAGCGATCAGGGGGCGCAAGGGACGGCCGCCGGTAGTGCTGGGGGCGCTGAGCCGTCTTCGTGCCGCCCGACCCTGGCCGTGTTGCTGTTGCTGCTGTTGGAGCTGCTCTTGCTGCTGCTGCTATTGGTGGCGCGCAGGGCTGCTTGTGCAGTGCAAGCTGCGGGGTAGTCCTGCTGCCACCACTTGCACTGTTCGAAGTCGCTGCGGCAGCAGCAACAGCAGCATGGTCGGGGGATGGTGGGCGGTAGTGTCTGGACGGGCCTGCATGACCATGAAACTGCACCCCACCCGCACCTGCACCACCACCAGCACCACCACCAGCACTGCCTGCTGCTCTTGCCTCTCCTCCCATCGCCACTGCTGGCTTGTGGCGCACAGCAGCAGCGTCATGCGTGCGAGGGCGTGCATGAGCCTCATCCGCGCCATCACCCCCACTATCAACCCCCACACCTCGCCCTGCACCCCCTGCTGCTGCCGTCGCCCCGCTCCCATGGCCATGCCCGGGGGCACATGGGGGTGCATCAGCATGCACCTGCATGTGCACGTGGGCTTGCACTGGCGCCTGGCCATGTGGCTGGGCTTGTGGGTGCGGATGAGGGTGGGCAGGCGGGCATGCGGCAGCAGGGGGGGGTGGAGGAGGGTCCTTGAGCGGGGCGACATGGCGGCTGACCTCCTTCTGCACCACGTCCAGCACCACCACTCCGAACAGCTCCACCCACCGCCTGCACACGCCACCCACCACACCATACACGCCCACACGGATGTCTGTTAGAGGGTGCAGCTTTTAGAATCCAAAGTTATTCTTTGGTTCGGAGGAGCTGCGCGCATGCATGATTAAATGAGGGGTGGGACTGTGCTTGATAGTACATGCTGCGCACGTGTGATAAGCTTTGACAAGGGGAGAGAAGCAGTGTGGCATGGTGCATGGTGTGGGTGACTCACTGTGGGAAGAACTTGAGGAGCTCTGCCCTGTCAGCGGGCATGCGCATGGCCACTGCCGTCATCTCATCATCACTGCACGGCGCACAGGGGCAGCACACACCGGGTAATAAATGCTTTTAATGGGCCTGATGCTGTGCAGCTGCTCTGGAGAACGGACATGCCATGAAAGCCTGACTGCATGGTAGCATAATAGCATGATGGCAGGATGCACAAGGAGGGTGGGTGCGGCATGGCAGCATGCATGGACGTACGAGAGGATCTGCGAGGGGTGCAGCTTGGGGTGTGCAGCGCACAGCTGCGCTCGCATGGCCGCCAGCGATGCGCGGATGTTCGTCACCAGCGCCTGGTGGGGGACAAGGGGGGGGAAGGGGGGAGGAAGGGAGAGGTCATGGTGGGACGAGGCAGGGGACGAGCGGAGCAGGGGTGGTGCGAGGAGAAGGCAGGTGGATGGAAGGAATTGCGCATGGTACAGGCACGTGTGCGTGTGTGCGAGTGGCAGCAGCAGCATGAGCGGTGCACCTTGTCGATGGCAGCGACACCAGAGGAGGCGACCCAGCCGCTGAGCTTCTTCTTCAGCTCCAACGCGTCCACACTGCGCCGGTTCTCCCCTTCCACCACCACCACTCCCCCGCTGCCCCCGCTGCTCCTCCCACTCCCACCACTGCCACCACTGCTGCCCCCGCCCCTGCTCCCGCTGCCACTGCCACCCCTGCTGCTGCTGCTGCTCCCGGCCCCTCTCGTGCTCCTCCTCCGCCATGCATGTCCGCTGCCCTCGCCCTCGCTCTCAATGCTGCTGCTGCTCTCACTCGTGCTGCTGCTGCTCCTCTGCACCCCTCGCCTCGCGCCTCCTGCACTGCCGCTTCCGCGTTCCCTTCCCCTTCCGCCCATGCCTCGCACTCCTCTCCCGTCACCCCCTCCTCTCCCCGTCCCCGCGTCTGCCCTGCCAGCCATCCCCACCACGCCCGACAGCGCAGGCGATAAGCCAATCGCTGCTGCTGCTGCTGCCATTGCTGATTCTCCGTCCCCAACCTCCTCGTCCTCTCCCCCCGCTGCACTCTCCGCCGCCATTGCCCCTGACGCCGCAGGCAACGTCTCATAGTCCTGCTCCCCGCGTCCGCGCAGCCCCGGCGGAGTGACCACCTCCCGCGGCTTCCGCGCGCTCGCCCTGGCGCGCGCCTTGGCTGCCGGCACGTTCACCGACCACGCCACTCCTGGCGTCGCCTCGCGTTGCTCCTCCTCCCCCTCATCCCCGTCTTCCTCTTCGGCCTCGTATTCTTCCTCTTCTTCTTCCTCCTCCTCCCCCTCCTCTTCCTCCTCCACCTCCTCCTCCTCTTCTCCTTCCGCGTGCACTAAATCCTCCTCGCCCGGCACCCGCAGCACGCGCGAGCGTCTCTCCCCGCCGGCCCAGAACGACACGTCGTCGTCGTCGTAGTCGTCGCCTATCGCCATCGCCATGCTGCTGCTCGATCGCGCCGACCGTCGCATCGCCGCGCGACTGCGCCGGCTGGGGTCGCGCGACCGCCTTCCCGCGCCTTCGCGGGATTTCTTCAGCCCATCAATCTGCAGCTTGCGCGGCGGCATCAGCAACCCTCCCGCCGCCGCTGCGCGGCTGCTTCCGCCCTTTCCGCGGCTCATAGTGCGCGCAAATCTGGGCAGGCGCGCGGCGGTGGCGAGCGGAGTGAAGTCCACCTTCGCCACGGCTGCGGCGGCCGCTGCGCCCAGGTCACGCGCCGAGATCTTCCGCATGATGCCGCGGAGAATGGTTCCGCCAGTGCGGGGCTCGCCCGGGCGACGGCGGCTTCCCTTGCCCAAGCCCGTCCGCTCGACCTCCGCCCCTGGCGTCACGAGCTCAGGCTCCTGCGCCATCCTCTCCGCGGCGGGAGGTTGAGGTGCGCGTGGTCGTTCGCCTTCCTCTGCGCACCACTCGCTGCCCTCCCCGCACGACCTCCTCTCCTCCACGCGGGACAGCCGTCCGCTCGGCCCGCCCGCCAAGCCCTCCTCGTCCGCGCGCTTCCCTGCCCACGGGTAGGGCTGGGGCGGGGGGCGCTTTCCCGGGGGCGTTTCGAGGTCGGCGGGCCGAGTGACGCCGCCTGGCCGCCTGAAGCTGAAGGCTCGCGGCGCTGTCAAGGGGGCGGCTGCAGGCGGGCTCTCCCCCGCCGCCGCCTTCCCGCCATCGCCACTCGCCGCCGCGTCGTAGTCTTCCTCCGTTGCTCTTTCTTCCGCGATCTCCTCTACCGTCTCCGCTTTCCCTCTGCCCCCCCTCGGCTCCGCGTCCCCGAGCCTGAGAGCCTGCACCACTCCGCGCGCCGCCTGGCGTTGAAAGCGGCCGGCGGCGAAGAGGTCGACTCGCGCGGAGCCGCCTTCCGACACGGGGTTCTCGCCCTCCGACAGCGCGCTCGCCATCCACGTCGCTGGCGTGTTGGCTGTCTTCGCTGTGTTGACCGTGTTGACCGTGTTGACTGTATTGACCGTGTTGGGCGCGTCGGGCGTGGGTGCCTCGTGCGCGGGCCGTGCGTCGTTACGGAGGCTGCTCTCCTCGTCACCGTCACCGTCACCATCGTCATCAGCGATGGACGACAAACGCGGAGCGCTGCTGCTGCCGCCCTCGATTCCGCTGCTGCTGCTGCTGCTGTTCCTGATGTCGCTGCGCCTCTCGCTTCCTCCGCCGCCGTCTCCTCCATCGTGCGCCGTCGCCGGCTCCCCCCGCGCCCATCCCTCCCCACCGTCTGAGAAATCCTCCCCAACACTCCCCTCTTTCTGTTCCCCGCTCTCCTCTCTCCTGCATTGCGCTGCGTGCTCCTGCCTCTCCCCGCGCACTTCCGCGCGGATCTCGTCCCCCTCTCCCCCGCGTGCGTCCAAGTGCGCACGTCCCGCTGGAGCTGTGTCGTGAACCCACCGCGTGCCCGCCGCCTCTTGCACGGTTTGACCGTTCGTTCCACACTCCTGCCTGCTGCGTTCTCTCGCCGCTCCCGCAGTCCCCATCCCCGCCCCTCCCGCTCTGCCTCCGCCCCCGGCGTCGCCCCGCATAGTCTCCCCTGAGCGCTCCTGTCGCCTTGCGCCACTCGCCATCGCGCCTCTCACCGGCCGCCCGACCTCCTCGTCCGCCTCCACCTCCTCCACCACCACCACCTCCTCCACCCACGTCTCTTCCCCCGCCTCCGCCCCCTTCCCCCCTTGCACCGCGCCTTTCTCCGCGCGACCGGACCACATGCGCCACCCCGCCGCCAGCATGGCCTGCAGCGGCGTCTGCTCCGCAGCGGGCGGAGGGCCTGCGGCAGCCGCCATGGGTCGGCGGAACTTGTGCACTGCCGCCCCTGTTGCGCGCTTCTTCCCTGGTTCCGCCTGCGGGTGGACACGTGGGTCCGCAGTCGCAGGCGCAGGCGCAGGCGCTGCTCTTGAAGCCGCCTTATTCTCCCGCTTCTCTCTTCCTACAGCGTACGTCGCCACACCCGCGTCGCCAACCTGCGCCCCTCGTCCACTCTCTCGGTTGCGCGCGGCTCCCCATGAGTCGCGAAAGCCCCCAGAGCCAAGCCCCCACGTGTCATCCGCCAAACCCTGGGGAGCACCATACACTTTGCGCGCCCCCCCCCCGTTCACTCTCTCCGCAGCCCCAAACAACTGCTCCCTCTGTTTGGCAACGGCCGCTTCCTCCGCTGCAGCAGCGGGGACGCTGGGTGGGGGCGGCGGAGGCGGAAAGGTGGGAGCAGGGGTGCGGGGGGGATCGGCGTGCGGTCGGGCGAAGTGAGTAGCGCCCGGTGTGAGGTCCGCCTCCGTCGCTACCGCCACGTACTCCTGCTCCGCTTCTTCCGCCTCCCATTCCCGCTCCCCCCGCCCTGCCCCCTGTTGCTCTCGTTGCGTCTCATGGTACTGCTCCGGGTGTTGTTGCTGCTGCTGCTGCTGTGGCGGCGGCCGCCTTGGAGGTTCCGAGACGAGGGGGGCATGCGCAGCGGGATCCGTGTCACCGCCACGCTCAGCGCCTACTGCCGGGCCGTTGCCTTCATGCCGCGCGTCCCCTGCGCCCTCCTGCTGCCTGTCCCCCTCACCTTGTGCTCCCGGCCACCCGTGCGCTTCCTCCGCCCCCAACCCCTCCCGCGCCGCCTCGTCGAACTGCCGCTGCAGAGTGGGTTTGGGGATCTCGCGCGCCCCACAGCCCCCTGACCCCTGGCTGCTGCCTGCGTCCTCCCAACTGCCGTTGCCGCTCCCGCTGCCAGCCACCGACCCGCTTCGCTGTTCCCGAGGCTTGCGAAACTGACCCTTGCTGCGGCTTGCGCGCAACAGCGCGCCCCTAGAACCGGCGCTGCGGCGCAGAGATTCGCCGAGAGAGAAAGGAGGAGGGCCGGAGGGCGGAGGGCTGTGTAGGGACGGCCGGCTGTTGCGCAGGACGGAGGGCGCGTTGGGGGCGGCCGATCCGAGGTAGAAATCCGTGTCGTCTATGTCCGCCCCCTGCGCTGCGAGGTGGTGGATGAGCGCGAGCTTAGCCTCGTGGTAGTCCGATGGCGATATGCAGTGCGACTCGAACAAGTCCTGCGGGAGTGCGGCGCGGAAGGGAGGACAAGTGGAAGGTATTGACTGGTGGTGGTCGGTGCGAGAGTCAAGACACTAGCTCATAGCGATAGATATGTTAGGCGGGAGAAAGGGGGTTGAAGGGAGGGAGGAAGGGACGGAGAGAGAGAGTGGGAGAGTGAGCGTGAGAAGTGAGGGTGAAAGTGAGAGAGAGCGGGAGAGGGAGGGAGAGAGTGAGAGATGCGATGGCGGGCACCTGAATGAAGACGAGGTTGCTGCGCGTGAGCTGCGGCCATTGGTCGTGCGCGGTGCTGGCGAGCACGTCACCCAGCAGGTCGCGCGTGAAGGCGGCGTACTGGTGGCGCGGCAGCAGCCCCTCGTCCACCATGCCGCGCATGAGCAGCGCGGAGTGGAACTGCGCCTGCTGGTGCTTTATCAGCCGCGCTAGCTCCTTGTTCTGCACGCACGCGGGACACATGGGCGCATGGCAGCAATGGCACTCAGCGAATTGGGCCCGGACCATGACAAGCAGCTAGCTAATGCGTGATTCGTGCTTTGACATGTGCGTTTAATGATCGGGAGAGTGTCATGCAAAAGATAAGCCGAGCGTGGCAGTGCTGCGATGACCTTCGCCGTGGCAACTTGTGTTCCAGTCGTCGCTGCGTACTGCCTGATTGACATACAACGCCTGTTCGCTACAGCCTCCAACATCTATGCATCGAGGTATTGCCACTGGTCTCTTTGCGTATCCTTGCGCATCCCTATGTGCTTAATAAAATGAACGCAGGAGCGAGATCAAGCCGGAGCGCACCTTCTTGCCAGCAGGAGAAAGGCTGTTGGTGCGGAGGAAACATTTCCGCAACCGATGGAACCGAAATCGAAAGCGAACCATGACTGTTCTTGAATCTATAATATCAAACGGCGGGAAGCTGTCAATCTAGAGTGTTCAGGAGAAGTTGACCGTTCACGCGTCACAAACGATGCATTGCGATTCATGAGGTAACGGAGCGAGGTAGTCTTGCTCTAGTTCAGGCATCTTGCTATTCAAAAGCGTCAAAGAAGCTAAGACACGACGCACTAATGATGAACTAGAGAGGAGAAGAGGATCAACAGCGGATGAAATGACGAGAAGTGAAGACTTGATTGCGTGATCTGGGAGTTGGACTGGTGAGTGTGGGAGAGTTGAGTGAAAGAGGAGAGTCGAAGATACTAGAGAAGCTAAGGGCACAGCACCACGCCGCCAGCAACAAACTCACTCAGCTGCTGTTGGCGCGAATCGCACCCGCAGTGACTCAAACTCCACTGGGCAGCGCACCTTGCAATAGACAGTAATGAACTCTCGAGTCGGGGTTCAAATTTTGGCGCCAGAATGGAGCGCAGCCAATCAGATCCTACAAAGGTGTCACTTCTGACGCCTGCTGCGAAAATCTAACGCAACCTTTCAGCTTCAACTCACCACCCCCCTATAAACTCCAACAACTGCACTCAAGATATTATTGTTTCATCTTGTGTGTATACTTTAAACTCTAATCTCTTTGTCATTTGAACTATTTTTTCATTACAGGGCATTTGATCGCGACTTCATCTATGATGATTATTTGCATTCTTTTTTTACCATAATACACACGTTTCCGGTAGTCTTAAAAAATGTTACGAATAGTAAATTGAGAAAGCACACTGTGCACTCCTGACAGCAGCAATCGAGTCACGCAGTACCGAGGCTGAAGACGAAGAGGCGGAATGACGCGAAGGGTCGCGCACGGTTACGGAGCATCTGGACCGTCAGGGCAGACAGCATCACGCAGCAGCAGTGTCCAGGATTCTGCCCGAGCAATTCGTAACCGTCTGGAGTCGCACGGTTGGTTTTTGATGCAATAAGGGAATTTACCCCTTAGAGTACATGGCTAGCCTAGGTCGTTTCGTATTCCCCTGTACTCTTATATATACGATTGTATTTGCATGTTTTTATCATCTCAGTCATTTACATTCACTCTGATCTGAGGTCAAGGGCCCACCACTACCACCACACATTATCTGCGAACCTTCCCGAGGTGATCCTAGGGGCGATCAACTTTGAATCGCAGCATGGTATCAAAGCGACTCGGGAATCCTTCGCAATGCCACCTGTCAAACTGTGTTTGTATGTCTGTAGGCTGTAGTGGGGTAGCCTCTACTGAGTACAACACTTTAGGGTTAGACCTACTTGTACTCATCTCACATTCCTAGTAAATCATTCTTGCCTGCTAATTCTGACATGGTATTCAGAGCAGGTCCCTCCGTAGGACCGCTCCGTTAGGGCCCACCAACCGTACGAACTGCCAGTTTTTCCTGCCCTGCCCTGCCCGATCATAACTGCCCTGCCCTCACAGCGTCCTGCACGCTGCCCTGCCCTGGCTTGCGCGCTGCCCTAGGCGCTACCCGCGCGCGCAGCTGCTTGCGACCTGCCCGCTTGCTGCCCTGCCCTGCAGCCCGCGTGCCGCCCTGCCCTGCAGCACGCGCGCCGCCCTGCTCTGCAGCCCGCGCGCCGCCCTGCCCTGCAGCCCGCGCGCCGCCCTGCCCTGCAGCCCGCGCGCCGCCCTGCCCTGCAGCCCGCGCGCCGCCCTGCCCTGCAGCCCGCGCGCCGTCCTGCCCTGCAGCCCGCGCGCCGCCCTGCCCTGCAGCCCGCGCGCAGCCCTGCCCTGCAGCCCGCGCGCCGCCCTGCCCTGCAGCCCGCGCGCCGCCCTGCCCTGCAGCCCGCGCGCCGCCCTGCTCTGCAGCCCGCGCGCCGCCCTGCCCTGCAGCCCGCGCGCCGTCCTGCCCTGCAGCCCGCACGCCGCCCTGCCCTGCAGCCCGCGCACTGCCCTGCCCTGCAGCCCGCGTGCCGCCCTGCCTTGCAGCCCGCGCGCCGCCCTGCCCTGCAGCCCGCGCGCAGCCCTGCCCTGCAGCCCGCGCGCCGCCCTGCCCTGCAGCCCGCGCGCTGCCTTGCCCTGCAGCCCGCGCGCCGCCCTGCCCTGCAGCCCGCGCGTTGCCCTGCTCGCGCAGCACTGCAGCCCGTGCGCTGCCCTGCCCTGCAGCCCACGCGCTGCCCTGCCCTGCAGCCCGTCTTCCCTGCAGCCCGCGCTGCCCTGCCGCCCGCGTGCCTGCGCTGCCCGCGCCCTGCGCACCTTGTTGCCCGTGTGCCCTGCTGCTAGCCTGTGCCCTTCTGCCCACGCACCCTACTGGCCTCTACAGCCACTCCAACAGTCGCAACTACTGTTGCAGCCACAGCAACTGCCACTACAGCGACTACCGCTACTGCTACAGCTGCAGCTGCAGCAGTCGCTTCTGACGCCCTTGAGCTGCTGCTACTGACTGCCACTGCCTGTCATGGCCACTATCACGGTCGTAGCAGCATCTGGCGGTGGACAGCAGCAGCAGCAGCGTCAGCTGGAGACTCTATCGCCGCAGCAGCTTCGCGAGTGGGTTATTCGGCGATGCTGCTCTGGTGCTGGAGCTTGGGATTTTGGAGGTGCTGGAGGTACTGGACAGCAGCGGCAGTCTTGTCGCCAGGAGACTCTCTCGCCACAGCAGCTTCGTGAGTGGGTTATTCAGCGAGGCCGTCCTGGTGGTGGAGGTTATGGTGCTGGAGGTACTGGACAGCAGCGGCAGCAGCGTCAGCAGGAGACCCTCTTGCCGCAGCGCTTCGCGAGTGGGTTTCTCAGCGACGCGTCCCTGGCAGTGCAGATGCTACTAGCCTAGGTGCCTGTGAGCCTGGTAGCACAGGTGCAGCTTCGGTGGAGGCTTTGCACACCTTCACGCTTGACTCAGGCGCGACTCGCTGCTTCTTCCGCGACTGCACCACAGTCACACCGCTCACAGCACCTGTCCCGGTCTCTCTGGCTGACCCCTCTGGGGGCCCAGTCGTAGCACGTGCCTCCACCGTTCTTCCGTGTCCGGCAGCCCCCTCAGGCTCCCTCACAAGTTTCCACCTCCCCTCGTTCTCTAAGAACTTGGTGAGTAACGCTGTCCTCCAGGACCAGTTTGTCACTGTGACTACTCCTGGGGGTGAGCTTGTGGCGATCTGTACGAACTCACGCACTGGCGAGCACCTCGCCACTTTCACTCGGAGCCCTGGGTCTGGCCTGTACACACTGACCACTGAATGTGCACAGGTAGCTGCGTTGGGTCAGGTAGCTGCGTCGGGTCAGTCAGCTGCATCTTGTTCGTGTCGGCTGCTCATGCACCAGACTCTCCTCTGGCACCACCGTCTTGGTCACCCCTCCCTGCCGCGCCTCCGTGGCATGCACTCTCGTCTCCTTGTCTCTGGCCTCCCCAGGTCCCTGCCCCCGCTCCCGCGCTCGCTTGCACCGCCGTGCCTTCCCTGGATCGAGGGGCAGCAACGCGCCGCTCCTCACTCACTCCTCGTTTCCGCCGACCACTACTCCTCTGCAGACTCTCCACATGGACGTGTGGGGCCCCGCCCACGTCCGTGGACAGGACCAGGAGTGCTACTTTCTGCTGGTTGTTGACGACTACACGCGCTACACCACGGTCTTCCCGATGCGGAGCAAGGCGGATGTCCGCGGTGTTTTGATCGACTGGATCACCGCTGTTCGTCGCCAGCTGAGCGCGCGGTTTCAGCAGGACCTCCAGGTCATGCGAATGCACTCTGACAGACGTGGTGAGTTTTCCTCCCGCCTCCTTGAGGGCTTCTGTCGTGCGGAGGGCATCGCCCAGTCGTTCACGCTTACTGCCTCCCCACAGCAGAATGGGATTGCTGAGCGTCGCATTGGCTTGATCATGGAGGTTGCTCGCACCTCCATGATCCATGCGCCTACTCCCCATTTTCTGTGGTCGTGTGCTGTCCGATACGCCGCACATCAGCTCAACCTCTGGCCCCGTGTCTCTGTGCTAGTGACCTCACCTACACTGCGTTGGACGGGGGAGGTTGGCGATACGTCGGCGTTTCGGGTCTGGGGCGCGCTCTCCCTTGTCCGCGATACCACCGCGGGCAAGCTCTCTCCTCGCACTCTCCGCTGCGTCTTCCTTGGCTTCCCAACTGACGCCCCGCCCTGGCAGTTTTACCACCCTGCCTCGCGCCGAGTCCTGTCCTCACAGGACGTCACCTTTGATGAGTCGGTCTGCTTCTACCGTCCCCACCCGCACGCGTCTTCCCCACTCTCCCCGCCGCCCCTCTTCCTGGTCCCAGGTCCCCCCCCCGTAATCCCCCTCCCCCCACAGGGTCCTGCTCCCTCAGGTGTGTCTCAGGTCGACCCACCCCCCTTGGTTGAGCCTATGGAGGTCTCCTCTGATACCTCTGGCCCAGCTGAGGGGGGTGACCCCACTGCTAACGACACGACGGCCACTGGCCGCTCCCCGCGCTTGGAGACCCCTCCTGGTTTTCCGCCTCTCCTGTGTCCTCCGCCTGACCAGTCACAGCCGCAGTTACTGCCTGGCTCTCCACTGCCTGCCTGGCTCCTTCTCCTTACCCTGCGCAGACAGGCTCCCTGGCAGACCGTC